AATACAATTTTGTTTTCACACATTTAAACCCCAATCTCCCCCCTCCCCCCCCCCCCCCCCCCCCCACACACACACTACCACCAACTTTTACTAAATTTTACAGCTTCTAGCCACTCAGCTGTCTCAGTCTTTAAAGAATGTAAAAGATCCTTTTCTACGGTATCTAGCATATTGGGCATATAGGGCTAGACCTATATGTTATAGACAAATCGGTACTCGGCGGATGACATGGTATGCATCACGCCAGCCGCCGTTACTTCCCAGGATTTACCTGCTACCCATTCAAGGCTAGGTCGACCTGTGATCCAAGGTGGTTACTGAACAAGTCCAGCTCCGTCCGGGCCTGGACCCATGACCTTCAGATCCTCAGGCGAGTGTCAAGCCGCTACACCACGGCGATTCTCTCCTAGAAGCGGTGGGAGGAATTTTTCTCGTGGAGAATCTCTGGTCTAGAGAACTTAAACCTTGCACACTAACGATCCAGAGACGGGTTCATTGACCTGTGAGTTAGATAAACAAATAACTGTCTGACGTAATCTCCCTTGAAATGCGAGGAGGAAGAAACTGTGTAGACCAGTGTTTCTCAAACCTTTCTTAATTGTGGCGCTTTTTTCAATTAAAGTTTTCCCACGGTGCCTAAACCTAAGTAAAAGTATGACTATTCGTATGGAAGGGATTTTCTAAAAACTCTTGTTTCTTCGAATATTTCGCAGCGCCTCTGTGAAGAGGTCGCGGCTCCCTGGAGCGCCGTAGCGCACAGTTTGGGAATCACTGGCTTTGACTAAATACGTCAGTCATTACTTCTTCGGCGACTGATACCAAGAGAAGAGGGTGGTGGAGATGTTAGAATGCCAGCCTATCATGCACAAGAACTGAAGTAATCATCCATAGTGTGAAAGCTTTAGGCTGGGTCGATCTATTAGCCTAGGTAAACAAATAGCCTAGTGTTAATTCTTTTTCTTCTTTTTAAAGTCCATGCCGTCGGACATTGGTAGTCATGTCTATCCACAACCTTCTGTCCCGTGTACTTTCGATCAACTCTGATACAGATGATCCTTCATGCCATGATGTTAAAGTGTCCTGCATCTTTTCTTTCGATCTTCCGCTACCTTTCCTCACCTCCAGCTTTCCTATTGTAATGATGTACGCAAGTTTTCTTATTCTCAATGCATGACCAAAGAATGTAGAATGTCTCTTTCTGATGTGGGCACTATGTTCTGTTCATGAGTCAGTATCTTTTAAAACATATTTATTGCTCTGTTTTATCTGTCCACTGTTCTCATCATTCGTCTATAAAACCACATCTCCGCAGCTTTTAAATAAGTTGTCACTAATTTATCAACTGTCAATTATTCACTTCCGTATTATTTATATATATAAAAATCAATGTTTGTGTGTTTGTTTATGAGCTATAGACTCGGAAACTACTGAACCGATTTAGCTGAAATTTTCAGGATATGTTTGTTTTGATACCGGATGTTCACCTATCATGGTTTGAAATTCAACATGTCATTGTTAGAGATAGTGTGCGACAATTTTTTGGAAAATCTTCGAAACTAATATTTACATTTTTAGTGACAGTTTATTATAGTCACGTTAGTAAATGCGTATGCGCCGTAATCAGAACGCAAGACTTCCACCATTCGCCGACGAGATACGTACAGCCAACGCCTTCTCAAATAAATAGAGTAGGCCTTGGTACAGCGAACAAGACTATTTCTATATATGTGCAGGCAATTATTGCCAAAATAACCATATTAAACACGATTTCTATTTTCTTTTTTTTTTTCAAACAACCTTCGATGAGTTGGAAAGTAGCCGATGGATTGGAAGGGAAAGGGAAAAGGAGGGGGGGGGGGCATCGAGGCCTATCTTGACGTCGGCGCAGACATTGACTGCGACATTTACCGTGTTAGACACGTGCCATTTCTATTGTTGTGCCGTTTCAATAGTATATCTGGAATATCTGTCTATGAGAAAACAATTGCCTGCTGTTTTGAGTTGTATTATAATCGGGACACTGTAGTAGGGACACACATCTAAAATAGTTTTTTTTCTCTTTTCGTTTCTCCGATGAAGTGGCTGCTTGGTCGAATGGTTAGAACACTGGGCTCCTGTCCGGGAGACCAAGGTTCGAATCCGCAGTAGTTTTTTTTTTTTTACCTGGGGCTAAAATAAAATCCTCACCTGCACTGTCGTGGCGACAGCACTAGCCATGTGGCCCTTAATACTAAAAAAAAAAAAAAAAAAAAAAAAAAAAAAAAAAAAAAAAAAAAAAAAAAAAAAAACAGGTATGTGGGTAAATCAGTTGATAATTAAATTTGACCATTTCGCATACTTATGTTTTCATTTTTAAACTTTACAATTGCATGGTTACGCTGAAATTTCATAGCTTTCCATTTATTTTCATTTAGATTTAATTATTTCATCTGCGTTGGAATTTTAAGCTGTGCTGTTTACCATAGCGTTCATTTCCTAATTATGGTGTATTTTTCCTGTTTGCATTTGCTTTTCAATTTTTTTTTTCTCTCCCAACTACTTCAATGAGGGAAAGAGTAGTCGGTGAATTTGGGGGAAAAGGGGGGGGGGGGGTGCAAACTGTTTACTGAGAGAGCTTTAAGTCACAGTAACTGCTTTACCCACTCAAAGTAGCAGCAGCAGTAGTAGTTGTGGCTGGGCTGTTACACCATAGTGCTCTCATGTGAAGACCGCCAGTAAGGTTATGGCGTTCTTCTGTCGGGAAGCGAAATTATACATCCTAACCTGACCAGTCCGTGGCGACAGCACTAGCTATGCGGCACAAAATCTTCTGGCTCACGACTCCCTGTCTACTCTGATGGTAAAACAGAGAGTAGTGACATTATTTTAGCTACTGTGGTGGTGGTCGTGGTAGTAGTTGTACTGGTACTTAAAAGATGATGTGGTAAATATTACACTAGCCCCATTCACTACCTATTACAATTCCTGCTCCCTATTTTAGTACGGATGGACAGGGATGTCAATGCCAGTTACAACAACAACAAAATATAGCCAGGTGTTGATTTTCAAATCCTTCGAAGAGGGAGAGAGCAGTAGTCGGTGGAAGAGGGGAGGGGAGGTGTGTAACGACCTAAATTTAAGAGAACCTAAAGAGCTTTACATGTGATTTTCAAGTTCTCATTACTTAATGTGTTTATATTTTACTAACGCTTCCTCCGATATGCAATTTTTTTTACGACTGACTTTGTTATTTACAAGTACAGTTGTAGCTTTACTTCCGTCTCCTATAAAAATAAAAACAGCTTTAGCATGTGATAACCAAATAACCATTTTTGTTACTGTGCTAATAACACCATTTAAACGACCACTAATATAAAGACACAATCATATGGTGCGTTTTCTAAAGTTGGAAAACCAGACTATCTTTATATCTATGCAGAGAATGATTGCGAAACTAACTATATTAGACACGAGCGATTTCCATTGTCTTTCTTTTTCAAAAACCTTTGATGAGGGAGAGAGTAGTAGGTGGATTTAGTTGCGGTGGGGAGGGGGGGGGTGGGAATCAAAGACTATTTCTATATCTGAGCAGACAATGATTGTATTAGACACGTGCGATTTCTATTTTCTTTCATTTCCATTTAGCCAAACTATGCCACAGCAACGCGTGGCCGGGTACAGCACTGTACATCGCAGATTTCTATGTTCTCTATTTTCCATTTAGCCAAATTATGCCACAGCAACGCGTGGCCGGGTACAGCTAGTCGTCTATAAAATATACAAATTTGTTTTGGACATCTGGAGCCTCTATTGGCAGTGGTGAGACGTCGCAAGCTAGCTTGGCTTAGGCACGTGGTGAGACATGATTCAATTGCAAAGACTGTTTGTTCTTCAGGGAACATTGGGGGTGGGTCAGAGAGAAGAGAAGGGGGTGGGGGAGGAGGGGTAGTCGAAGAAGAGGAGGGCTAAAAAGAACCTGGAATGACAACATCAAGAAATAGACAGGACAACTGTCACAGACCTCTGGGTGACCTTGCTGGTCCGTGGCTCGTAACTGGGCCTATGACAGACAATCTAACCTTTGACATACACTGAACCCGAACGCACACAGAGCACACACGACAATCTTTATTGTAAGTACAGGTAATACAATAGACAGTTGACTTCCCGCTGTGTGGCCACCTATATCCTGGACCCTCTGGCCGAACGAGCTTTACAATCGCCTCGCTCTCCAGTCCGTTCCACAAGCAATCTCCTGGTGCACAAACCCCACTGGCACGAGATACGCGCTTACCTATCGACACACTGACCAACCAAACTATCACAGCCTCTGCCTAGTGCAGGGTCAGAGTGCCAAGGTTAGACATTCTCTCACAGAACATGTACATAACTGATTTAACTGGTCAGAAGTAACTGGAACCTACTTACTTATTATGGAACAACACAATACCTTGTACCAGTTAAATACACTGCACAAAAACTATCCTATTCTAACAGAACACTGTAAATAATCTATGCAGTCACTAACAGAAATATCCTAACTCTAATATACTATCACTGTCTCGCTACATGTCTGCCTCGTCTGACCGTCGCACACCGAATGTCCTGTGTTCTCTCCACCTCGTGTCTCTTGACCCCGTTCACCAGCTCAGTCCCAAAAGGGGTAATCGTGTTGCGGACTTGTCCACAACAAAGTTCACTCTTTCTTGCCGTGGCCAAGCGCTTTATCCTGAGCGCTGGTTTCACCGTGCAATAACAGAACAGACTTGACCAGTCACGGCCCTGACCTTTGTGTCAACCCTGGGGTGTCACCTCAACACGCACACCTTACGGTGTGGTACATTCCGCCACTGACTGTACTCACAGGGTTGTGACAACAACGCTATCATACACTTATTCATCAAGCAGAAGACAAGAGAAATATGGCGGGTTTTATGTGCTAGTGCTTCCATCAATACACCTTCACGACCCTAATGAGTCAAGGGTTAAGTTATATTAACATCGTCTATGCTTGTCCGCAG